CCGACTGCAAAGGTAATCCACTGAGTCTTTCCTTTTAGTTGAGACTTCGAGACATCACTCCGCTGCTTCCGCATTACATTCTTGACTGCTTCTTTCCGATCTGCTTTTAATTTCGTCGTACTCCACTTTTGGTGAAGGGGCCAGGTCTCGTTGTGTATGTTTGTGTGTGTAATCATGGTTTTCTACCATACATCAGCTGAAAGGCTGACTTCTTTGTTGTATCCTGACTGGTAGCACGATGTGTTAGTAAAATCAGTGGAAGCTCCGTTTCCCAGTTACCGCCCTTCGAGGACAGCCACTCCTTCAGTGTACGGTTGTTTCTCTCCGTTAGGCCATTCGTTTGTGGATGATATGGGTTCGTTCTGACCGTCTTGATGCCCAGCTGTTGCAAACGGGAAGTAAATTCTTCACTCTCGAAAGAAGGACCTTGGTCTGTCAGTATTGTCTTTGATACGCCGTGGTCTGCAGTGGTGTGTCTAACTACTGCATCTATCACGGTCCTTGCACGTTGGTCTGGGATTGCTACGGCGTCTACCTATCGTGTCGCGTGTAGTTCGGGTACAACAATGATAGGAAACGTCACCTCGCAGCCGCCAACAACGACCGTACAGTTCGATCTACCCGTGATACGCAACACATGCCCGCCTACCGTTTGTACTGTCAATGAACACAGACTAACACTCTTACATAAGTTCTTGTCTACTCACGACACGGCCGACCCTGCATCTACTAAGCATGCTACTTCTTGATCATTCACTCTCAACTTCGAATACACAGCCGCTTTCTCAATAGCCCCAACTACATCTAGTTTTATACGAGAGAAAGAACACATATTATACCGTCTAAAACGTTTCCTTTTCCGCCTTTCTGAGCAGTATCTCCTCCAGTGTCCCAGCTTACCGCGTTCAAATCATCAATCTTTTTTATCACCCAAATTTAACGCCGCCACTTTCCGCTGCAACGCTTTAATTTTCTGCCCGTATTCGTTTGGTTTTGGATGCTCTATGTCGGCTACAGTTGTGCTCAGCAGCTGTCTAGTCACCTTCGCCAGCTCACTAACATCCATCGGCTGCGTTGCGTTCACCAGTTGTAATCACTAAGAAATGTGGTCTGGGACACTCTCGATGAACTGGGAAGACAGTAACTGCACTTCTGATTTTTCATCCAAAGTGGGAAGCGCACGTCGAAGAAGATTCGTCAATTTTGCCGCCAATGCTAAAGCGTCTCCATCAGGTCCTAGCTTTATTGAAAGGAACTGCTGCATTGCTGGCGGTCTGTCTGTTGCGCTGTCAAACTCCGATATCAATCGTTCAACCAATTTCTTCCAAGTCGCTGTGTCATCTGACCTGTCTACGCTGTCATATGCCGCGTTCGCTTGACCTCTCAACAGGGTCTCCAGGATAACCACCTTCGCCGCCTGCTGCTTGACACCTACCAGCTCAGCGACGGCCTCGAAACCACGTGAGAAGCTCCGAACGTCTCCTTCTTTAAACGCAGTTGGCCAAAGGGTCTTCGTTTTTCGGAGGCAGCGACACCAATTGTAACGACAAAAGATAAGAGTCAGGCAACAGATTGTTTATTAAGGAAATCAACACGTATTTATATATATTTCATGTACATTATCATAGCTTATTCAAGCAGACAAACGGAGTCTTCTGATTATTGTTTCTTACAGAAAATTGACTTTGCATATCTTTGTGACTGTTCCTTCAATGTAAGATCATCTATACGCGAAGTCTGCTGTGATTGGTTGTTGAATCAGTCTTGTTCATATTTTCTCATCACCAATATATGCGACATACCTATTGACGTAAAATGCTGTCTACCAATTTTGGTTGGCCTGTTCTCAGGTGAGAATTGGTTGTTGTACAGTAGTCCTACAATTTCATGATATCTGAATCTCAATCAATGATGGGTAGTCGATTTCTCCAGTCACCATCTCCATCCACTATTCTCACTGTCTTCTCACTGTGGTATAGCTTGTCTTGTATCACTTTTTCATTTCATCACACACACACACACGCACACACAGAATTCTCGTGTCGTCAAATTGTCAGTGATGATACAGGTTTAACTGGCAGAAATCAAGGCTTGCTTTAATAAGCACTGACATTCATCACTCGATCAATCTTGTCATTCAATTTCCTGCTCTCAAGTTCTTACTCTATGCACTGGGTACCTGACTGACTACTTAGTTTCACCCTGTTCCAGAAACATCAGTCGTCATGTCAAGGCTCACATGTATACAATTCTGTTACAATCAGAGAGACAAGTGCGCTGGAAATAAGCACCCCGTTTCATCATCATTGGGATGAACACGGAAGAAGTCAACTCCCTTGATCACTTGAAAGCATTCCCAGTTCTCGCTCTCTCCCACTCTCACTCACTCGCTCACTCACTCACTCTCCCTCTCTCTCACTGTCACTCCCTCTCCTTCCATCAACATCTCAGAGATCACCATCTGAGCAATTTGATGATGAATACCAACAATCACTTGACGACGAACATATGCATATATTGACTTATTCACATGTATCTGCAATCATCATTCGCTCAACCCTCTACACACTCACTCACTCACTGACTCATTCAACAAGAACTTAATCATCATACCACTCGCACATACGTGAATGGACCGGCGGATAACAGTCAGAGAGACAGACACACGCATCAACTCAGCAATGCATGCATACTCTGTGACATAAAGAATGTGGCAAGTATCATCGTGTCAAATTGTTATAGTGAGATTTCGACTGAATGTGACGAGAGTCGTGCTTCTCCATTGTAAATCCCATCAACACACACTTGTCTTTGAATACAATTCTAGCCATCTACACACTATGTGTGATAATTCACAGGCAACAAACACCATTCTCTCCCCAGTCTCCTACCCTCCTCTCACTTCATCCCTACATCTACATCATCAACAAAATCATCATCATTAACGTCGCCGTCGTCCTCATGTGGTATCAAGTGACGTTGGGCGAATAAGCGTCATTCGGAGAATGATTGATTCATCAGAGTAGAAAGTTAGAGGGCACATGTAGGATGGTCAGTGCTGGGCAATTCACCTACACAGTCATAAGCATAGAAAGTCAGTTGTTGTGGTTGTCATTATTATTAGGCGAATGGATGCAGCCAAAGATAGGAAGGAGTGTGTTCCAGTTGTTGTTGATGACGATGATGATGACGATGATAGGAAAGTGAATCAGACTGGGCTGCTTTCTAGTAGAGGCTTAGTGTACTTTCTTACAGTGGGAGAAACTCACACACAATTCTTCAACACTCTTTATCTCTCTCTCCCTCTCTCACACACACACACACTCACTGTGTCCTCATCTCAATGTTTCTCTCTCCGTGAAGACGCAAACACGACACGCACACTTGTGAACTACACAGACACGCATGAACATACACTATTCTTTTTCTCACAACAAGAACCTCTCATTAGGCTCTCAGGTTAATTCTGTCCTCAATACTCTCACTGTGATGCGAAAATGTTCACCTCATTATCATGAGATGAAGCTCACATTCAGTAGGGGAGAGCATATCTTGAACAGCCTAGAGAAATGAACAATCAACTGAATGCGCGAACACGAACACGAGCACGCATACACTAACATAAACACACGTAGATAGAATCACAGACTCACACACTCTGACTACTTTTTCGTTTTGCTCTCATCACTCGCTTTCTTGTTATAACTCCTTATTTAATTTTTTTTAAATTTCGTTTATTTCTATACGTGTTTATTTATAATATTAACCCCTTTCGGAATATTTCTTGATTACATTTTCAATACGAGAATCTTTGTAAAACTCTCTCAGTTTAAATTGTCCTTATCGTTTTTGGTACTCAGCTTGTGAGAAACAACTTCAGATCTTTACCACGATGAAGGTATAAATACTCAGGAGAATTAGATGAATTTATGCTTTCACAGAAATCATGAGGTTCAACTCACTTCTCGTGTACTCGCGCTTTGCTTGCTGGTCCACATACGTGAGTCACTATATAAGTTTATTCCATTTCTTCATTTCATTCCATTTCCTAAGATGTACCTATTGAATGTTTCCTCTTTACTGATTCAAACTGCATATCAGGATGGCTTATAGAAATAACTTCAGGGAATAAGAAGAGTAATTGTGTCATTTAACTAGATGACTTGAGAGGTTGTCTTGAATTGTAATGCATAGCATATACTAGGATCTCTGAGTTGAATAAAAAGGGGATACATAGCTCGTGATATTGGAAGAGGCAATAATGACAGTATTCTCATTAATCTGGCTGGAATATTAAGTGCCATAGAGATGTGTCCTCCACTGAATGGACGAAACTTGTCCCGAAATATCAGCATGTTAGATTTTGAGAACATGAAATAAACGCAAGTATTATGACCCAATGATACATGTAATACATTGAAATCTTTTCTAAAATAACATCATATCGGTGACCAGAGACAAAAAATACGAGCCAAATGGCAAAACAGCTTAGGCAAACTCCGCTGCGTACTGTCTCAATTATACCATTTCCTCATATTGATTTTCCATGTGGCTTCAGCTGCGCGTCTCCATTGCCTTCGGTTTTCTGCTAACTTTTTCATCTCGCTCCAAGTCTGCCCGCATGCCTTCATCTCCTCTTCACATGAACTCCTCCAAGTCACCCTTGCACTGACGGCCAACTCACCGCTTCGCTTTCGGGTTCCACTCGAGCAATGGCTTGTCTAGTGATGTCACTCACTTGATGGTTTCCTCAGAGTATGGCCAATACCGATATTGATATTGATATGCAAATTGACCGGTTGAGTTAAAACACAAATAAACACATGGAAGCAGAGGTGCGGAGATAAGTAGAAATATATATGTGAGTAGATGAAAAGGGAACTCACCAAACTGCGGTATGATTGAGAAAAGGTACAACTAGTGATAAAAGTACTCAGAAATTTGAAACAACGAAAAATATTTGTGTGTTGATTTCAGATGCTGACTTTGAAGACAGTCACATGGGTAAGTCTATGTGGATATGTGAGTCAACTGCATTCTTCGAAGTCTACATCAGATGCTCATTGAAATGAGTCATATTCTCATTATCATTTCCAAGAACTCACACAAATACTCCCTCAAACATTCGCTGACGCACTCAAAATCCAGCTATGAGCAGCGAGGTCTATTCAGTTTCATCTGAGTGACTAAGTGATTGGGTCAGTGAGTGAGTGAGTGAACGAGTGAGCGAGTGTATCTTTGAGTGATTGACTTAGTTGGTGAATCAGTGTTGATGGGCATAAGGGGATATCGATATGAATATTGAAAAAAATGTGTATATCGATGTCGATTCGGCTGTTGATGTCGGTGGTGATGTTGATACTCATACTGTTTGCGAATTGAGTCGTGTAGTGAAAGAGAGACGACTGAATGGACAAAAAGATAAATAGAAAGATAGATATGTAAAAACAAAGCGAGAAAACGAGAAAAACAGCAAGAGAGATACATAGATATTTACACGGATGCATGCGACTCAAGTCTTTGGAGAAGAGCAGAGGGAATGCGAGTGTTTTGCAAAGTGTAGTTAGGTATGGTGGGGCACTGAGGTGTATTCATAAAAATCAGTTTCCAAAAGAATAATGAATAGAAATGGGTCAAAGTGAATTGCAGTTTAGTGCAGTTGGTTCATATAAAGAAAAATAGAGTGAAAACAAGTGTGGATAAATGCACTGCAGATTCGAGCCGAGAAAATAACAGAAGTAAAGAAAAGGGCAGTTAAGGATGAGGAGCAGTATGATTCTATTTGTATTTGATTGATCGCTGAACACTCCCACGAATTCCATTTAATCAAATATCTGTGTGTGTTGATTTCAGATGGTGGCGCTGAAGACAATAACCTACGTAAGTCTCTGGTGTTCTTCAGGTCAACTGCATTCTTCACAGTCTTCATCGGATGACCATCCACTACTTCCTGTTCTCAACATCACCGTCAAGCATTCACTAACTCACCCACTGAATCACTCATTCACACAGTCACACACCAGCTGAATCAGTCACACTTTCAGTCAATCACTGACTGCTTCCCTCGAACACTCAGTCGATACTTCATTCAGTCAGCCAGTCGGTCAGGCAGTCAGCCAGTCAGTCAGCCAGTCAGTCAGTCAGTCATGTACTCTGAGTGATTCCGCTCCTCTCACTGACAATATCGGAAGTCGATGATTTCGTTAGGTCTTTTACTTCATGTGTATGCATCTAGGTTGTTTGTGTTTCATCTGTGTTAGTGAGTGAGTGAGTGAGTGAGTGAGTGAGCGAGCGAGTGATTGAGAGTAGGTGGGGGTGTTTGTCTTGGCTTTTGAGGCAGTTTCGACATCGATTTGCATAACTCTATCATTATGGATGTGAATATCCTTGTTGATGTTGATGTTGGTATTGACATTGTTATGCGAATAGAGTCGTCGATTGATCGACAGATGGCTACGTGAATAGATAGATGGAGAGGTAGATAGTAATTTCCAGTGCTGTAAGCGACTTAGAGATGTGGAGTGGAGCAGAGCGGTGGGAATATGAGTGTATATTATTGTATTGTAGTTTAGTGTAGTTAGATGTAGTGAGTTTATTGTAGTGTATTCTAGTGTGGTATATTTTGTTGTGTCGCAGTGTGTTGTATTCTATTGCAGTGTATTCTTGTGTAGTGTTGTGTTGTGTTGTGTGGTGAAATGGATAAAAGTGTAGTGAACTGGAGTGGAGTGTAATGGAGTTGAGTGTATTGCAGTGCAGTGTGGTGCAGTGTCGTGTTGTGTAGCGTTGTTTAGTGTGTGTATCTTAGTGTGGTGAAGTGTGGTGTAGTTTCGAGTGGTGATGTGTTGAGCTGTGGAGTGGAGTGTAGTTTTGTTTAGTTCAGTGTTGTGTAGTGTAGTGAAGGATGAGGAGCAGTATGCTTCTATTTGTATTTGATTGATCGCTGAACACTCCCACGAATTCCATTTAATCAAATATCTGTGTGTGTTGATTTCAGATGGTGGCGCTGAAGACAATAACCTACGTAAGTCTCTGGTGTTCTTCAGGTCAACTGCATTCTTCACAGTCTTCATCGGATGACCATCCACTACTTCCTGTTCTCAACATCACCATCAAGCATTCACTAACTCACCCACTGAATCACTCATTCACACAGTCACACACCAGCTGAATCAGTCACACTTTCAGTCAATCACTGACTGCTTCCCTCGAACACTCAGTCGATACTTCATTCAGTCAGCCAGTCGGTCAGGCAGTCAGCCAGTCAGTCAGCCAGTCAGTCAGTCAGTCATGTACTCTGAGTGATTCCGCTCCTCTCACTGACAATATCGGAAGTCGATGATTTCGTTAGGTCTTTTACTTCATGTGTATGCATCTAGGTTGTTTGTGTTTCATCTGTGTTAGTGAGTGAGTGAGTGAGTGAGTGAGCGAGCGAGTGATTGAGAGTAGGTGGGGGTGTTTGTCTTGGCTTTTGAGGCAGTTTCGACATCGATTTGCATAACTCTATCATTATGGATGTGAATATCCTTGTTGATGTTGATGTTGGTATTGACATTGTTATGCGAATAGAGTCGTCGATTGATCTACAGATGGCTACGTGAATAGATAGATGGAGAGGTAGATAGTAATTTCCAGTGCTGTAAGCGACTTAGAGATGTGGAGTGGAGCAGAGCGGTGGGAATATGAGTGTATATTATTGTATTGTAGTTTAGTGTAGTTAGATGTAGTGAGTTTATTGTAGTGTATTCTAGTGTGGTATATTTTGTTGTGTCGCAGTGTGTTGTATTCTATTGCAGTGTATTCTTGTGTAGTGTTGTGTTGTGTTGTGTGGTGAAATGGATAAAAGTGTAGTGAACTGGAGTGGAGTGTAATGGAGTTGAGTGTATTGCAGTGCAGTGTGGTGCAGTGTCGTGTTGTGTAGCGTTGTTTAGTGTGTGTATCTTAGTGTGGTGAAGTGTGGTGTAGTTTCGAGTGGTGATGTGTTGAGCTGTGGAGTGGAGTGTAGTTTTGTTTAGTTCAGTGTTGTGTAGTGTAGTGAAGGATGAGGAGCAGTATGCTTCTATTTGTATTTGATTGATCGCTGAACACTCCCACGAATTCCATTTAATCAAATATCTGTGTGTGTTGATTTCAGATGGTGGCGCTGAAGACAATAACCTACGTAAGTCTCTGGTGTTCTTCAGGTCAACTGCATTCTTCACAGTCTTCATCGGATGACCATCCACTACTTCCTGTTCTCAACATCACCGTCAAGCATTCACTAACTCACCCACTGAATCACTCATTCACACAGTCACACACCAGCTGAATCAGTCACACTTTCAGTCAATCACTGACTGCTTCCCTCGAACACTCAGTCGATACTTCATTCAGTCAGCCAGTCGGTCAGGCAGTCAGCCAGTCAGTCAGCCAGTCAGTCAGTCAGTCATGTACTCTGAGTGATTCCGCTCCTCTCACTGACAATATCGGAAGTCGATGATTTCGTTGGGTATATTACTTCATGTGTATGCATCTAGGTTGTTTGTGTTTCATCTGTGTTAGTGAGTGAGTGAGTGAGTGAGTGAGCGAGCGAGTGATTGAGAGTAGGTGGGGGTGTTTGTCTTGGCTTTTGAGGCAGTTTCGACATCGATTTGCATAACTCTATCATTATGGATGTGAATATCCTTGTTGATGTTGATGTTGGTATTGACATTGTTATGCGAATAGAGTCGTCGATTGATCTACAGATGGCTACGTGAATAGATAGATGGAGAGGTAGATAGTAATTTCCAGTGCTGTAAGCGACTTAGAGATGTGGAGTGGAGCAGAGCGGTGGGAATATGAGTGTATATTATTGTATTGTAGTTTAGTGTAGTTAGATGTAGTGAGTTTATTGTAGTGTATTCTAGTGTGGTATATTTTGTTGTGTCGCAGTGTGTTGTATTCTATTGCAGTGTATTCTTGTGTAGTGTTGTGTTGTGTTGTGTGGTGAAATGGATAAAAGTGTAGTGAACTGGAGTGGAGTGTAATGGAGTTGAGTGTATTGCAGTGCAGTGTGGTGCAGTGTCGTGTTGTGTAGCGTTGTTTAGTGTGTGTATCTTAGTGTGGTGAAGTGTGGTGTAGTTTCGAGTGGTGATGTGTTGAGCTGTGGAGTGGAGTGTAGTTTTGTTTAGTTCAGTGTTGTGTAGTGTAGTGAAGGATGAGGAGCAGTATGCTTCTATTTGTATTTGATTGATCGCTGAACACTCCCACGAATTCCATTTAATCAAATATCTGTGTGTGTTGATTTCAGATGGTGGCGCTGAAGACAATAACCTACGTAAGTCTCTGGTGTTCTTCAGGTCAACTGCATTCTTCACAGTCTTCATCGGATGACCATCCACTACTTCCTGTTCTCAACATCACCGTCAAGCATTCACTAACTCACCCACTGAATCACTCATTCACACAGTCACACCAGCTGAATCAGTCACACTTTCAGTCAATCACTGACTGCTTCCCTCGAACACTCAGTCGATACTTCATTCAGTCAGCCAGTCGGTCAGGCAGTCAGCCAGTCAGTCAGCCAGTCAGTCAGTCAGTCATGTACTCTGAGTGATTCCGCTCCTCTCACTGACAATATCGGAAGTCGATGATTTCGTTGGGTATATTACTTCATGTGTATGCATCTAGGTTGTTTGTGTTTCATCTGTGTTAGTGAGTGAGTGAGTGAGTGAGTGAGCGAGCGAGTGATTGAGAGTAGGTGGGGGTGTTTGTCTTGGCTTTTGAGGCAGTTTCGACATCGATTTGCATAACTCTATCATTATGGATGTGAATATCCTTGTTGATGTTGATGTTGGTATTGACATTGTTATGCGAATAGAGTCGTCGATTGATCTACAGATGGCTACGTGAATAGATAGATGGAGAGGTAGATAGTAATTTCCAGTGCTGTAAGCAACTTAGAGATGTGGAGTGGAGCAGAGCGGTGGGAATATGAGTGTATATTATTGTATTGTAGTTTAGTGTAGTTAGATGTAGTGAGTTTA